CGGTGTCTGCACTGTGTGTGTGTGACGTGTGTGTGGGCTGTGTGTGTGTGTGTGTGAGTGTGTGTGTCTGTGTGCGTGCGGGCGTGCGTGCGTGCGTGCGTGCGTGGGTGTGTGTGTGTGTGTGTGTGTGGGTGCGTGTGTGTGTGTTGTGTGTGTGTGTGTGTGTGTCTGTGTGCGTGCTGCGTGTGTGGGTGTGTGTGTGTGTGCGTGTGACTGTGTGTGCGTGTGGTTTGTGGCTCGGCTTATGGCTGGGTCCCGGTCCCGGTGTTTTTGTTTGGTTTGGGAAGTTTGGAGTTTGGGCTGTGTGACCAGTGTGTGTGTGCATTGTGCATGTGTCCGTTCGAGTGAGTGTGTGCGTGTGTGTGTGCCTCTGTGTGTGTGTGTGTGCCTGCTCTGTGTATAGCAGTGTACAGTGTACAGTGTACAGTGTGCAGTGTGCTTGTGATTGTGTGTGTGTGTGTGTGCTGTCTGTGTGTGTGTGTGTGTGCGCCTCTGCGTGCTCTGCTCAGGAGTGCAGTGAGTGCAGTGAGTGCAGGAGTGCAGTTTTTTTTTTTTTTTTGTGTGTGTGTGTGTGTTCTTGGCACACTTGTGTCACTTGTGTGTTGCGTGTTGTGAGTGTTGTGTGTTGTGTGTGTTTTCTTGTGTGCGTTTTGTGTTGGGTCTGCCCTTGCCCTTGCCCTTGCCGTTTCCCCTTCGGCCTTGTGCTTACTTAACTTTTGGCTGAACTTGTTCCGTCCGCGCTCGCTGTTCAAGGTAGGTCGGTAGGTCCCCTTTAGTTTGGGCCGGGTGGGCGACTGCGGTCGGGTGATGCTTGTCGAGGCCTCAGTTCCATGTTCGTTTCAAGTATTTGTGCGGCTTCCCTGCCCTACTACATTAGTCCCTCCATTCTTTGCCTTGCCGTTTTCCCACCGGTCCTACCAGCTAACCCCGACCCCTGTCGCCTTCTTCCCGTTTCACCGTGCTCCCTGCCGTCGCTCAGGTCCAGCCGAGTCTCCTGACGCCATGTGCCCAGTGTGCCAGTAGAGTCTGTAGAGTGTCCCTAGGAGTGCAGGTAGGCTCGGAAGTGGCAGGGCGTGGTGCAAGGGTTTCTGCTGGGGTTTGGGGTTTTGTTCGGGGTCCGGTAGGCCGCCTCGTCCCCTTTAAGGTTTTTAGGCTGCCCTGTGGTCCGGGAACCCCGGCCCCCTCCCTCTTTGCTCAGGTCCCGACTGCGCAGATGCCGCCGATGCCGCCTGGGTCTTCGACTTCCACTTCGAGAGGCCTCAGAGTTGGTCGGTTTGGGGCTGTAGGACCTGTAGGACTGACCTGTAGTAGGCGAACTAGGCTGCTAAAGGTGCCCAGGCCCAAACTCAACACTCCGCATGAAAGGTTAAGGTCTGAGTTTTAGGGCCTTAGGCCCCAAGCCCAAACCTCATCATAATCACCCGAAATCCCACAGCTGAATCTAAAGTTAACAGCAGAGGCTTTTTACATTTCTGAATTGTGGGGACTGGAATATTTTGGCTCCGTTTGGGCCTTTGGGCTGCGGGAGTTGGGCATGGGAACACTTGGGACATTCCCCTTAGCACGCCCAACCTGTAGCAATACCACATCCTGGGCCTACTGTTTTTTGTTGTCATGGGATCGGATGATTGGGCTGCGGCTTTGCCATCCCTCTAGGTATTGTTTCGGATGGGTGTGATGTTGCAAACTTCTGCCCCTGCTCCCAAGCCTAAACTCTAAGCCTGAACCCAACTGACCCGCCCCATGAGTGGAACCCGCAACATGCCTGCAACGCCTACATTAACACAAACCAACCCAGCCATCACCGCGGCCATTCAACATGATGCAGTGCTCAGCTTTGATTCAGAGGTTGTGGCATTGATCAGCCGTGACGGTGGGGCAGCTTAGGCTTAGCTGCTTAGCTTCGGGCTTAGGGCCTAGGGCCCAGGCATCAGCGTAGGGGTCATGGGCTCAGGCCTGCCAATAATCTGATAAGGTCATAAGACTGACTAGTGACTAGTGATGGCATTCTGCTGAGATCTGCTGAGCTGATGGCTTCTGGAATGAAACGACCGTCCACTCCGAAGCCAATGAAGGCGATGAAAGCCATCAAGGCGATGAAGACGATGAAAGCCATGAAGGCGATGAAGACGATGAAAGCCACGAAGGCGATGAAGACGATGAAAGCCATGAAGGCCATGAAGGCGATGAAGAAACCCAAGGCGATGAAGACCAACATGTCCTGGGCTGACGGTGTGGAGGCAGATATTTTGGAGGGCGGTGCGGAGGCAGATGTTTTGGAGGCCGGGTACGAGGTGCACCAGCTGGACCAGGACGGCAAGCCAATCATGAATGCCACGATTCCAAAGTCGTGGACGATGGATCGTGTCGTGGCTTTTTACATATACTATTTCCTGTTTAGTTTGGGGCTTAGGGCTTAGGCTTGGTCACTTAGTCGGCTTAGTTACTTGGTCTTAGGCTTAAGTCTTAAGTTTGCGATTCCATGGTTCAGAGTTGAGTTCAGGGATGGTGGCAGCCCTGGAACATGGCGGGTGCAGCGGATATCAGATGAAGGCGATCGGGATTGCCGTCGTCGTTCGCTATGACGGGCCACGTAGGACGTAGGACCTAGGACCTGGGACGTAGCAGCAGACAGCATCGGCACACTACAGATTACACTACACTCTACACCTAAGACTAGCGGCTAGCGGCTGGCGGCTAGCGGTGACTAGCGGCACAGCTCAGCAGCAGCACACACAGACTCAGACACAGGACATCCAACGTCCCAGAAGCACCAGGTCTCACAGAGGGGTGATGTTTCGGTGTGTGTGTGTGTGCGTGCGCCGGGGATTGCAGAAGTTACGTAACCACGGGGTCGCAGGCGCTAGGCATAGGCCGGTGTTTAGCGGTTTACTTGTACGAGGTTTGCGGCGCTGCACACACGCACATGCCAGTTGTGCTGCTCAGGTTTTTTGAAGGAAAAAGATCGTTGCCGGGGGTCCGAAGCCAAAGCCGAAGCCCCTTAGCCGCTAGCTTAGCTGCCTAATCCTTAGCTCCCTGCACTGTCCCACACGAGTCTTGCTCTTGCACAGGTGCCACTTCTTCTACATGCGCTGTGCCGTGGGCTTGGATGGGTTGGCTTTTGGTATAGATTGAAATATGTGATTATGATATTAGAGTCTGATTAGAGTCGATTAGAGTCAGCTTAAGACTAAGTGACTAAGCCAAGGTTGATGCTAAGATAATGCAAGTCATCCTCCAGCCGGTCTTTGGTGCTTTGGAACAGTTTGACTAGGATTTTGCGTTTGGTTTGGGTTCCGTGCGATTTGGGATTCAGAGTTTACGCGTGCATTCGCTTGGGATGGCGTTGTTTTAAATTGTTTTCACTCATGTCTAACAGGTTTTGAATCGGGCAACCACTTATCAATTTTTCATGACGAAGAAATTGCTGCCGAATTCTTTCTTCCAGTCAAGTCTTGACCGGGCGCCCGCATCAACATCATCATGATAGCATCAGCACCAGCATCAGTCTGACCATTGCTGTTATCAACATCAGCACTATAGTCAGCATCAGCGTCAGCGGCTGCATCGGCAGCACCAGAAGCTGGGACCACCATCATCATCATCAGCAGCATCATCATCACCACCACCACCACCACCACTACCATTACCGTCATCGTCTGCTTGTCGACATTACCATCAGCATCAGCTGCATCGTTTGCGTCCGAACCGCGAAGGCTATGGCCTGCCTGGCCTTGACGGCAACCCCATGGCTGGGCCGCGGCCTCGCTGCAAAAGAGTGCCACAGGATTTGGCAGTCGGCAGTGTTGTGCAGTGAAACCGGAGCTCTGACTAGTCAGACTCTAGAAGCCCCTCGCCAAAATCCGTGAAGCATGACATCTTTGAGGAAGCCTCTGAAAGATTCACAAAAGTGGGAGCATTCAAAACATCAAAACCTCTTATCCCTGAACTCCAGGGCCCAAGAGTTTCCGAAGCGACCTAGCCGAAACAAGCCGAGGCCTCTCTCGGGCCTCGGGCCGCGGACTCGGGCCGCGGACTCCCTGGCGGAATGACGTCGGACCCGATGCAGCTAGGACCTTCAGGCCTTCAGGCCCGAGTTGCTGAAGGTTTAGGTTTAGGGTTTAGGGGGTTGAAGTGTGGGGTTTTAGGTTGAGGGTTTAGGGTTTTCTGGTTTGGACGAAAGCAATCCCCCCCCATGAACCCCAAACCCCTAAGCCCCAAACCCAAAACCCCTACTTAAAGGATCATGGGACTTAGCAACTAGGGTTATAATTAGGCAAATATACTTATAGCTACTTATAACCCCAATTAAGGTACTTATAACCCTACTTGCTACGTCCCGTGATCCTCCAAGTGCTCTGTCTGAAAGTGAATTCTCAGCCTGCATTGACTGCCTGCCGCTCTTTTGCTGTTGCTCGCACGTCCATCGTCATGTTGTAATGTTGTTGGCCGGTAGCTTGCGGCTTGCGTGTGCTTTTGCGCTCTGCATTTTCAAGCGGGGACCTCTCAGGTTTCAGCATAGCACCAGCTGGCAAGGGCCTGGGCCTGAGCCTCTGAGGCATTCTTGAACGCACTAACTAACCGCCCGGCCCTAGCCCTATACCCCTTTCGGCCTTTAGGACTTTAGGCCCTTGGGCGACAGACGGATCAGTTATCGAACAGACTGATGAGCTATATCCCACTTGTACATTGTAGCTGTTTGCTCGAAACACTCGTGCGATCAGCAAGTGTACCTTGATTGACACTCGTGATTGAGTCAGTGCTGTCAGCACATGCACCATTTCTCGTCAGTGTTGGCTCGATGGTACTAGTGACCGGTGACTGAGTGACTAAGAGCTGAAGTGGCTCATGTGTGCACATCCTTCCACATTGACTGCAGTGATACCGTACTGAGACAGGGAAGTCAACTAGGGACTAGGGTACCCGTGGCATCGAATGCCAAAGCTTGGGATACAACAGCGTTTGACAAACAGTTTGAGCTTGCAGCTTGCGGATTCGTGATGGCAGCCCCGAATTCTTGGGATTTGGCGCTGGAGCTTGAGCTAAACGTAGAGGAGACAAGTCGTGCTGTCGACGAGTGCGACTTCTTGCGTACACCCAGCACTGCTTCGAAAGACGATTCTAGCAGCACGTCCAGACCAGATGCTCGAAAGCGGCCCAGCACGTGGTGGGCTGCACTGCTGAATGCAGCAGGTGAACCTCTGGGTTTTGGGGAATGTAGTTCTCAGACACCTAGCATCCATGTCGTGTCAGCCTGCACCGGCTGTGCTGCTGAAGCATGGGCGCTGAAGGCCTGGGCCTCCAGCTTTGAGTCGCTGATAGAATGCTGGGAGCCGTGCAGGTTTCAGCTCCAGGCAGGATAGGACAGGACAGGAGGGTCAGGCCAGGCATGGTGTGGCAGTGTGGCGGGTACAGATACGGCAAGGCAGGGTAACACGGGTAAGACCAGAGCGAGAAGGGCCAGGGTTCAGGCCAGGCTTGCCATATTCTGTTTGACAGCTGATAGCTGATAGTTTCCCCCTAGCTTGCCTGTACCGGTAGCAGTAGCATTGTAGGCTTTGTATGGCTGTAGCTGCAGGTCGGTAGGTGGTAGTAGGTAGCCGGTGCCTGGTAGCCGCTAGCCGCCGCTAGCCGTAGCCGCATGCGGTAGTAGCCGGTAGCCCAAGCCCAAGCCGCAGACCCACACCCGTTGTGCCGTCCCCAGACTCTACAGATCTAGGAATCTAGGACCTATAGGCCCTCGCGGCCATGCGCAGCCCAGGCCCAAGCCCAAATCCCCGACACCTCCCGGCAGCCGTTACATGCCTCTGCCAGCCAGGCCTTGGGAATCAACTTCACCATGCTCGCCGCCTCGGATACGAACAAGAACTACAGAGCCTTCGTTTTGCAAAACTTCGGCAGAAAGTGTCAGCACATGTACGATAGCATGGAGATGCAGATGGCAGCTGCAAGTGATCACGATTCAAGTCCATGTCTGAAATGCAGGGACATGGGTGTGGAATGCATTCATGAAGCGGCTTCACAAGTTCCTGTGCACCTCATGGTTGTTGGAAGCCCCTGCGATCCATTCTCCGTACAACGTGCAAAGAGATTTCATGAAGGCCAGGTGAAAGAGCATCGAGACTTCTACGTTACTATGAAGTCCTTGGTCAGCATGTTCCAGGTCTATCAGCCACAGGTGGCCATAGTTGAGCAAGTCAAAGGGTTCTTGCTGCCTCTATGTGTTGGATCGAACGAGACGCCTTTCCACAGGCCTGCAGCCACGTCTTGCATCAGCCAGTTTGGGTTTGGGCGGTTTGGGTGTGCAGTGTGCAGTGTGCCTGTGCCTGTGGGTGTGAGTCTGTGTGAGTGCGAGTGTGTGTCTCTGTCTCTGGATATGAGAGCAGTTGCTGCTGCTGCGTTGCTCAGCTACAGCAGCTACAGCTACAGTGACAGTGCTACAGTGTATTGAAAGTGTATTGCTGGACTGTTTGGTGATTGGTGATTATCAGATTATCAATCACGTGAGATAGCAGATAGAACATGGCCCAAAAATAGGCTCAGGGTGGGCATTGGGCCCGGTAGCGGTAGGCCCCCCCCAGCTTGTCATCGAACGAATAGGCATAGTTCCGTGCAAATTGCTTACATGATGCCTGGTTGCAAAGCGGTCATGAGTCATTCGACTGAGTAGTATTGTTAACAGCGAATTGAAGGTTTCTTTGTGTCCTTGTGCATCCGAGACCATTCCACTGCCAGGCAAATCAGCTCACTAAAGGCATTCAAGCCAAGTCGTGAAGATGCATGACGCTGCAGTGCGCATTCGTTGCAAATGACTTCATTTTTCCCTAGGCCCTAGGCCAAGGCCCCAGAACGTGTTAGTTGATATTGATTGCTGTTGCTGACCTCCGGGTTTCGGCTGTATCTGTACCTGCCAATGGAGCTTGACATGGGGCCCGGGTTGGAGGGATCTCTGAAACACACTACACGTTTCTCATGACGTCATCGCTTGGCCAGGTTTCTGCAAGAGATGGACAATGCGGATCTTGCCTGCGGCGGGTACTACGTGGCCAAGATAGTCATGGATGCCAACCAATGGCTCCGGATGAATCGGTGCAGGCCAGACTGATTGAGGGTCCTTTTTGCCTCTTGTTTGGTTGAATTTAACTGCTGCGGAATGCGTGTTTTACCAAATGACTGCTGCAGGGCAAGGGTAGGACAGGAGGGACGACCAGTCAGCTTGAATGCTGTGGCACGTTTGTCATTTGCCACAATTTGCCCTTTTAGTGGTTCTCATGGTCGGTCAGTGTGCCAACGACATTGCAGCAGTTGCTGTTTGGCCCATATTCCGCACCTTCTCAGTCACAGAGGTGGGTCGGCTGGTTGCAGATTGTAGTTGAAAAGAAGCTAAGCGTTTGGGTTTCGCCCGATCGGTCGTAGTTTATGCTAGATTCTGCTAGATGCTAGCAGCTAGCAGCTAGCAGACTCTGGGATTTAGCTGTGTTCAGTCAAAAACAAATACCGTGTGCCATGGTTTCAAGTCTGTCGATTTGTGCACGGGTGCACAGCTCAGTGCTCAGTGGCCGCCGAGTAAGTTGAGACTTCATGGGCTGATCAGCTGAGCAAGTTAGCTAGACAGCAGCTGATTCTGTGCTGCCAGTGAACTTTTCAATTGAGTGTGGGACACTGGAATGGAATGGATTGGGATATTGCTTTGGAGCAGTTTCTGCAGGAAGGCAACACCAACGATGCCGAAGTTCCTGGTCCTGACCCAGTGCAGAAGCGCAAACCTGGTCGTCCCAGAAATACTGCGGGTTCACGCCATTTGCGACAGCACCTCAAGCAGCTAGAAGAAGAATCAGAGCAGCGGTGTGGTGCCGCTGTTCCAACAGCTGTTGCGAATGCAGACGGGAGTCAAGGCCTGAGTCAAGGCAGTCAAGACTTGCAGCTGCAGCCATCGCATGGCTGGTTGGCAGAAGCCCGTCTGAAGAGCCAGAGTCTGGCTGCTGCAGCTCGACAGCCCTGGAAGGGTGCAGGACCTCCGGAGGTGTTTTCTGTGTTGGGCAGTCCTGTTCAGCGCTGTTTGGGTAATGCCTTGATGCAGATTCTTCAACCCAAAAGAACATCTGGAAACTCTCGAGCCGGGGCGTCTGATGCAGTTTCTGTGCCTTCAACTGCCTCGAGATCAAAGCCTGTGCCGCCTAAGCAAAGCAAAGAAATGCTGGAATATTTCGTGGATGGCACGGCATTGTCATGCTCGGCATCATCGATCGGGCGCATGACCGGCAAGAATTCGGGGGTGTGTCAGAACACACTGGTCCTGAGCGGGGCCGCGACTGCCGAGGTCAACAGCTTGCTTCAGTCATCAATGCTGACTGACCTGGTCAAGCGTGCTACTGATCGTGAACATGTGCCACTGTTAGCTCTTGTGAAGGTGAAGTACGACGAGACGCCTGCAAAAGTTCGCGTCGCCACCGTCAACACCAACTGCGACTTGTGCGAGGGTCTCGCGCAGGACAGACTTGCGAAGGGCACACAATCCATGATAGTGCCACGTGCGAGCTCCAGTGGCGAAGCTTTGCGAAAGTATTTGCAAGCCGAAGGTGTCACGACCAAGGACCTACCTCAAGTTGCAACACACGCAAAGCTGTTGCAGACGCAGGTGCAGTTCAGATTTCTTTTCCACAATCCTGGAACTGATCAGTGCTACTTTCTGGAAACCGACCTCCCATGTCCGTTACAAACAATGGACAGGACGACAGGGGAAAACATGCGCCAGTGCATAACAGAGTCCTTACAGCAGGTCCCTGAGCTATGTCGACTTCAGTCCAGCTTCAAATATCAACTACGCCACGTCTGCACTGACAGAGCTTCATCTAACTACAAGGCCGAACGAGGCTTGCGAGAGGGGGACTTTTTCCCACGGCAGACCGTTCTGCATCTGCCTTGTGACTGCCACAAGGCCAGTACATGCATAAAATATGCAGTGCTCAAAGGCGAGCAGGACACATCGGGTTTGATAAACACGGGCCTTCTTCTGCGTGGCGACGCTGGCGCGATGGCAACACTCCGTCAGGTGCTGCTATCGGTGTTGCTTAGCACCATGGTGATCGAACACTCAGAGCCCCCGGCCGATGCGGTGTCCCACCGCCAGGAAATGTATGAGCTCTTTCTTCCAACCAAGCACGTGGCTCCAGGCGTGGCTAAGCGAAATTGGAAGAGACGGCTGATTCTATCTGAATTGTTCAACGGCGACTTGCTGAGCCCAACGCCACGACATTGGTGCAACGTCGGATGTTGTATCGACGAGGATGACTTTTGGATGAAGCTGCCCAGCTATGCTTTATGGGCGCTGATGCCGACACGGGCACCTGTCATGTCCCGGAAAAACTGGTTGGGACAGCCTGAAAGCTTGGAATGGTGTGGTCTGCTAGAATCGCATCACCAACTGTACTCCAAGATGATGCTGGCATACATCGGCGGGCCCAAGCATCAGCCAGAGGTCCCAGTGCAGCCTGTGGAGCCTGCCTCCTGGGATGATGCTGTCATGGATTTCCTGCAGGACAGCTCGCAAGCTGTTTGTCAGGAGCCTCCTGCTGACGAGCTGCCAGCTGCAGATGTACAAGACCGTGACGACCCCCCCGCCGCTCCGGAAGGTGAGGTACGTAGTCAGGTAGTGAGGTAGTGCAGTGTAGTGTACCAACAAACCATAAAAGTATGTCACCAACACTACAAAGGTAAATCACATACGCCTAATATAAAAAGTTTCTAGTGAAGCCTTATTAACACGGTAGCGGTAGCGAGCCCTTTCACATATACTTTGTTCATGTCTGTTTCGTTTTGGGGGCCCCTGGAAAGGCTCAGCCGAGCAGGGTCCAGATACAGCAACAGCATTCGCTGAGGAGAACGCTCGCAGGCGCACGACTGTGCGCGAGTATGTTCAATCAAAGCCGTTGCCACGACTATGTGTATTGAAAGAAGTGGTTTCTCCAGTGCACGTTATGCTTACAGCTTTTCTTGCAGTGGCGAGCAAATCTTTCGAACAGAAACAACGTGCCAAAGCAGCCGCAGGTCAGGCCAGGACGTACATTGTGCTGCAAGCAGCTCGGGGTGCAGACGTCAAGTTGTGCATGGATACATTGCTTTCCATCATTTGCAAGAGCCGAGCAGAATCTGCAGTGTCTTTGCAGTGCAAATACCGGGCAATGAGATTTTGCTGTGCCAGTGCTGCGCTTTGCTGCGTCCATGCTTTACTTCGTCTTGCTCGAGGTGGAATGCCGTATCAAGGGTTCATGCTCTTGGAGGATGCAAGCTTGGCCAGGGCCAAGCAACTTCTGGACACCCCGCCTTGCATGAAGGACGAATTCTTCACTTTCCTGTGTGAAGCTTTTCCTTCACCTGCAGCATTGCTCAGTGCACCTGCCATGGGCATACTGGAGTGCACAGCTTTGAGCCTCTCTGTGGACATATCAGACATCGAGTCTTCCCACTCCATAGTGAGGGACTTTATAAATGTCCATGTGAAGGGATGGGTTTCTTCACTGGAGACCCTTTCATCTCTGCATGTGCTGCAACAACGGCGGAAGTTTCTTGAGCTGACCAGCACTCGTGCATCAGGGGCCAAGCTGCAGGAAAAACAGAAGCCCGGCCCAAAGCCAAAGGCTCCCCAGACCAAACGTGGTGGCGGAGGGGCCTGGCGTGCTTTTGTGAGCCAGAAGTTGCGAGGCTTGAAAGCCAGATATCGGAACGATGCGATATTTGCCACACTTGCTGGTGAGTATCGGGGTTTGACCCAGGAAGAGAAGCAACGTTTCTGTCAGGTGGGAAAAGCTGCAAGTTTCGCCCACAGGAAAGGCTACAAGTCCTTCGGCAGCGCCAGTGGCCAGTCGGCCGGGCAGGTGGGCGGCCGCAGCATGCCCTCAATGGCTCATCTGCCACTGCAAGATGCTTCTCGACAGGGTCATCTGCCACTGCAAGATGCTCCACGCCAGGATTTCGGCTTGGTGCCATTCCATGGCGGTGTCAGTCTGCGTGAGAAGTACGAGGCACTGTCAAGGAATCTCGACTCCGTCAAGATTCCTGATCCTCACGCATTGTCGGCTGAGGAGCACACTTCCCTGAGTTTGACTTCTGAAGCAGGCAAGTCATCAAACCTCGCAGCTGCGTGGGAGGAGCATGAAGACCTGGTGAGCGGGCTTGCTGGGGTCAGTGGTGTCACCTCTGGATGCAAGAAGCTTCACCTCGATGCTGGGTATGCGTGGACCGCACCCACTGAGAAGCTCGTGAAGGAGCTGCTGGGCTAGTTAGGCAGTTAGGCCATTTCAGCCTATATATAGTCCACACCAGATCACCAGATATCGGATCATTGGGACATGCAAAGGGACGTGTTCGCCTAGTCACGCAACGCTTCCAATGATTTCCTTTGCATACTTTCATTGCTGGCCTGCCCCAGAGAGTTTACTCTGCTTAAGTGAGTCTAGAGTCTAGAGTGCTCAGCTTTACTGATACTGGTTGTTCTGGCATATTGACTTTGGAGCGATCCCGCATTGCGATGTCGCAAGCCTCGCAGTTTGTCTCTTTGTCATACTCCGTCTTTTTCCTTGCCGGACATATGTAACAGTAACTTGTAATAGCAGATGCAACTGAAGATGCAGCAACTGCAACAAGCATGAATTGCTGGTATACAGGATGTAGGCCCGAGGCCCTTGTCGGCAATTTAGGAAAGGTATGTAGGCCCAGGTGGCCGTAGGTTCGTCAATTCGTACATTTCTTTCAGGCATGTTTTGTCCGGCAGTTGTAGTCATTGTAGTCTTACTTCAAAAATTCAATACTTACTGTACTATTACCTGGAGATTGGATTCGACCTCTGTCCGCAGGTCTTCTTAGGTGGTCGTAGTCATAGTCGTAGTCGTCCTGTCAGTTGTTTGAGTGTTTCGGTGCAACTCTTCATGAAAGATACTTGTAGTGCTTTGCACTTTCAAGAGAACAAGGCTCAGTCTGCCATGAGTGGAATCGTTAGCACTTCGCAGATGGGCCTTCCTGCATGACATGATTCTGGAAGCAATAGTTCAATAGTTTTGACCGAAGGCAATTTAAGCATCTGCAGAACATCCATGTCATTTTTGTGTTATGTGCTTGTCGCACTTCTCTGTGCAGGAACTTCTAGCAGAAGCTACAGCAGGTGTTCGTCGACAGCACAAACTGTCCGCAACCTTGAACTCGTCTTGGAGCCATCGATGCCGAGTTCACGTTCACAAAAAGCAACAGGCCATTCCAAAGGTGGTGCCGGGTGCCTTTGTGGCAAAACCCTGCCTAGGGCTAGGCTGTTGCGTGTGTGGAAAGCATCCAGATTCGTCTCCGGAGGTTGGATACTTTGCAAGCCATGTGCGGCAATGGTTGCAGTCAACATGCAAGAAGACCAAAAAGATTCCGACCAAAGGTCGCGAACTGTTGGAAAACCAGCACCTGGTTTTGTGCTTCGAATCCGGCCCCCCAGCTCCTCCAGCTGCAGCTGATGCAATCGGCCCTGCAGCAGATGCCGGCGTGCCTGCTGAGCCTGCTGACTACAAGCAAGAGAGGCACTTTTTCCACCTGGGTTACATGAATTTCAGCACTTGGCATTTTGTTGCTGTGCGCCTGTTTGAAGACTTGGAGTGGCTTGGCTACGGGGATGTCGAAGTCACATCTGCAGATATCCTGCAGGTAGGTGCAGCGCCCCAGCATTTGGCCGGGGACTCGCACGGAGTGTGCACAGACGTACAACTGTACAAGAACATTCTGAACTTGCAGGCGTCGTGGTGCGTGAAGCCATACACCATCTCACTTGAGGAGGCGCACTGGCAGCACGTTGACAATTCGTCAATGATCTTGCCGCTCATGCAGGTGCAGTTGACTGATTTGCAAGAGTCTCAGGCCGATGACGCTGCAGGATTTTGGATCTGGCGTGGCTCTGCTTGCGAGAAGTACAAGCGTGACCTGCAGCAACGTCAGTCAGCTTCTAAAACCAAGTCTACAGCTTCGAAGTCGAAGTCTGCTGCCGCTTCGGCCTCCGGCAATTCAGGTGGCACTCGTGGAACGAAGCGTGGCCCTCCTGGCCCTCCTTCTGCTCCAACAACAAGAAAGCGTGGCAAATGCAGTGACAGACGCGCCGAGCAGGGAAGTCATGGAAGTCAGTCTTCAGCTGCAGGCACAGTGCCAGCAGAGGTTCAGGTTCTGCAACCTCCAGACTCTGGCGATTCTGTATTGCTGGACCCTGCTGACTCTGCTGCTGCTCCACCTGCTGCAGCCGCTGAGGCTGAGGCTGAGGCTGAGGCTGACAGTGACCGTGTCCTCAGCAGATTCGACGCAGATCCCTTCGGTGAGGACTTATCAGAACATGACGACGAGGACGAGGAGAAACCAGAAGATAGCAACCGTGCTGCTGGAGGAGTCTACAACGACACAGATGAAGAGCTGGAGTTGTTTCTTGACCAAAACCAGGATGATCATGATGCTTGCGTTGGGGCACCTCCGAGTCTTTCTGACGAGTCCGACTTGGAGGACTGGTGGGAGCAGCTGGTCGGCTCAGCTCCAACGACTGGGAGCACAAACCCCGCAGGGGCGGCTCCATCGACGTGTGCTCCTGTTGTTCAGTCTGACGAAGCTGCAGCAGGAGAGGAGCCTGAGCGGCACAATGCGGGTCATAGTGCCCCAAGGCCACGCCGCCCGGACTTTGAAAAGTCAGAGTTTACTGTAGGACTGTATGGCAAGCTGCGCTTCTACAAGCACACCAACGTGCTGGTAGCCATTTGTGGCAATCCAAAGCACGAGGATTGTCGGATGGAAAGAAAGCTGGCAGCACACCCCTCAGTAAAATCTACCACGACTTTTCGCGCTGGTCAAGGCAGGCCGTTGGGACTGCTTGTTTATTGGCTGAAGAGGCAGTTCCACTACAACACGCATGCTGCTCATATACATTCGTTTACTCACAACCAAGAACTTCGCTTGGAAGCCAGGAATTGGTTTCTGGAGTCATTGCCTGCGAGTGAGAGAGAACAGATCTCCAACATGGAGCGGAGTCGCCGAGATGGTGAAGACGTCGAACCGCGAAACATCCAATAGGTCTTGACGCTCAGCTGTACCAGCACGACAGGGTCTTTCACTACGACTACGACTGTGAGTTCCAGCAGGCACGAGCCAAACAAGCCGTCCAGAGGCCAGCCTCAATGTTCTGGCAAAACATACTGCTTGCGAGATCCTGACACGTGTTCTTGCCGGCTGCAAAAAAGCAGAGTCTGAACATGTACCAGGACCAGTACCCGGAGTACCCTTGTCACTTGTCGTACCCGGTACCTGCTACCCATTGTAGTCTGTGTGGTGGGTGACCGGGTGACTGTCTCACTGCTTTGGAAGTGTGCTGGGATGCTACAGTCTAAAGTGCTAAAGGTATTTCGGCTTTTGCTGCTGGAGTTGTGGCGGTTATGGTTCGGTTGAATGCAATTCCTGTGCTGTTAGGCTTAGCGGGTTAGCTTAGCTTAGCTATAGGTGGTTGATAACGTGTGCAGCTGTTGTACTGAGTGCTTGTCAGCTTGTGCACTGCAAAGCGAATGTTTCTGAGTCAGCCATATCCTCCAGTCAGTCAATGTTCGCAATCTTTTGTGATTGCAGATGCCTGCTCTCAAACGCCCAAACCCAGAGAGGCCGCTATCACCCTCCCTTAGAATCCTTAAAAACATAGCAGCCTTGTACTGACCCTGAGGCCTTAAGCCCGAGATTTCTTTGTCATACAACCGCAAAAATTCATGGGGGCTTTTGTACTTCCACCTTGGCCTTGGCACATGTATTGCTGACTCTTACTGAAGCTTTCGGGTGTGACATCCTTATGGCTTTCGCAAATTTTTAGCAGAGTTTGCTCCCTGCACCTCGGACAACTGGCATCCACCCTGCTGTGATAATAAGCTACCTTAGCCTCAGCTTTACAGCCCTATACCCCAGAGGGAAAACGCAGCTTTGTAAGTAAAGCTTCAAGTTGAAGTTGTAGCAGTAGCCTCTAAAGGATATTCTTGCGCATCCAACCTGTACCAGCTCTAGCACTTTGTCCCAAGACCCGAAAGCCCAGAGCCCTCATAATTGTCCTTCCTATCCTGAACATCACAGTGGGAAGCATACACTGTGCAGGTGCTTCTTGGTTTTCTTTCGCAAGGACAAGTTCAGCCGTGACCACGTTTCTGGTTACAAGCAGACAGTGCAGGCTGGGTGGGTAGGTGAGGAAGCCTGGGTCTGCAGTGTTTTGTGAGTCTCATGCAATGTCGGTTTGCAAGTTGTGTAGGCTCTGCAGGCCGCTCTAGATTCTGGGCCTAGGCCCTAGGCCTGTTGCACGGTGTCGAACACATGGGACGGATAGACAGCCACAATAGGGCGTGCGGTTTTGTCAAGTTTTCTCCTGTTTGTGTTGCGTCGGGCGTCGTTGTGTGTGTGATGCGAAGGCGAAAAGATGACTTGATTCAATTTTGTATTGCGCCTCCAGAATGTCAGTCTGCCTCGGAAATATGCAAGCTTGCTCAGAAGGGTTCAGGGCCTTCATGATTGCTTGCTAGCTGCTGCTAAGCCGCTAAGCCAAGCCTGCTCAGCCTTCTAAATTCTAAGCTGTAGACTACCGAAAAAATCAGCAATCAGTGAAGTAGGTGTAAGTAGTAACTGTAACTAGCCGACTGACCGACTGACCAAGCAAATACATAACTGGTAAATAAGTGTTAACCGAGCCTATGAATCAACTGCCAATTAACGACATAGGGAACAAACAACCAAAGAAAATGATAACACTATTACGGAAGTGATTTCACTAACTATTTCAGAGATTCAAAAACTACTGAATCTAATGAACGAACTAACTTAGAAATTGACTCACTGACTGAAAGATGAACTAACTAGCTCACCATGCAACTAACTAAGTATCTAACTAACCAACCAATTGACTAACTGATGAACTAGCTAGCTCGATAGCAAACTAACAACCAAGATAACTAGATAATAAGCGATCTAACCAACTATCTGTCTGATTCTTGTAGGACTCACTACAACTAACGTACTCATATAGCAGCAGCAGCAGCAGCAGTGAGACAACAGTTACAACATCATCTAGCAATCACCCGGTGCAGTGCAGGCTCTGCTGGATTGGGTGGCTGCGAACCATGAGCCTCGCCGCCTCACGGACTTCTTGCTGCAAGAGTCGAGCCCTTTGTTTCAGGAAGAGCTCAAATCCAGCCAGAAAGGCAAGAAGGTGCAATGCGTGCAAGAGCTGTGCCAGAAAGCTGAACCTGAGGCCCCTGGCCCTTCTTGCTTGCTTGTGATCCGTGAATGTGCGTCACTATAGCTACAATGTTACAGTTATCACGCTTTGTGTTGTCACAGTCACGGTCTGACGGTGGTCTACTGAGTCTACTGAGTCTACTGAGTCTACTGACTACGCAGACTATAATGCCACTCCCAAACAACCCTTGTTTATCAGAGTATCTGTCTGGGGTGGTAAACTGGTAACTGAAGCTCGGCAGCTACCCAGTGGGGTTTGGGAGTTTGGGCACCAGTGCAGCAGTGTAGCAGCATGTTGTTCCATGCAGTGGTGTAGGTAAGATTGGTGTGTTGGAACATAGTTGTTGACCCATGATAGTTGCAGAGCCTCTGGGCTCACGGTCGATCCACTTCATTTCCATGTAATGGCATGATCAAGCCTCTAGCCGCTCTAGCGGCTCATCCATCATGATTTGAAATTTGAGCACTGGCAGCAGGCAGCACTCAGTACGGCAGTAGGGAGTTCAGTGGTAGAAATTTGCACATGAGCTTCCGAATCCTTCGATTAGAATCCAAGCCAGGCTTACCAAAAGCTGCCAGGGAATGAATGGGGCAGGTTACAAGAACGTGGGTTTCCCAATGCGGCTTACCAGACAGATGCAAAAAATATGCAATCCCATTTTGCCCCCAGATGCGGAGATGCAAAAAATATGCAATCCCATTCTGCCCTCGGATGCGGACCGCCAAAAAGATGCAAACCGTACGCAAAGAAAACGCAAAAAATATGCAAAAAATTTGCAAAACACACTGTGTTTGGTGGATTCAGGTGTTCCAAGGCTGCTGCCAGGGCCCAGGGCCCAGGCACGCAAAAAATACGCAAAAAATATGCAAAACACAGTGTGTTTTGCATATTTTTTGCGTATTTTTTGCGTGCCTGGGCCCTGGGCCCTCAGGGCTGCTGCCAGGGCCCAGGGCCCAGGCACGCAAAAAATACGCAAAAAATATGCAAAACACACTGTGTTTTGCATATTTTAGGGGTGCCGGGCCCGCCGGCTGGGCCAGGGCACGGCCCCTAAAATATGCAAAACACAGTGTGTTTTGCATATTTTTTGCGTATTTTTTGCGTGCCGGGCAGGTCCTGCCCAGGTTGTGTCCGGGCGCCTTCCCGCAGCCCGCGGCCGGCCAGGGCGCCTTCCCGCCCGTCCCGCACCCCCCCCAAACCGCCTTCCCCGGCCCAGCCCCAGCCCCAGCCCCAGCCCACCCCGGCCCCACCCCCAGGCCCCAGCACCCAAAGGCCCCAAGGCCCAAAGGCCCCAAGGCCCCAAGGCCCAAGGCCCAGGGCCCAAAGGCCCCAAGGTTCAGAATCGTGTGCCTTTGCAGTTTGCAGCTGTGTTGAATCCAGACGTGCAGTTCTGGCAGGCCGCTTGGAACAATTGGAAGAAATGGCAGGTTCAAGCTTACCAGCTACGTCGTGAGATGAAAGCAGGATGCTGCAAGCCGTGGACGGACATTCCTGGCTTGAAATATGCAGGAATCGTTCGATCTGAGCGCATCGATGAAGTGCTGAATCTTGCAGTTCTGGGATTTCTTGGTGCTCGACGTGTACTCAAGCTCCAGCAGCAGGGCCCAGCTGCTGTGCAAGAAGCTTGCTATGACCTCTACACGGACGTATCGCAAAATCCGATCCGCAAGTCTTTCACGTCCCCGAAGACTCTGGCTTCTCCATGTTTTACAACGTCGACTGCCCTTTATTCTCATGCTAGAGATCGCATTATACTCCCGATCGAAGCCATGCTCATGCAAGGCCATGGTCTGGACATGAAAATTCCGGACAGCATGCCCAGGTCTGCTTTGCGTGATCTTGCAGGCGAAGGCATATGCCTCCCTTGCATAGCAACACTGATTCATGCCTTGCAGCACACAGACAGCTTTGCTGTCTAGTATTCAGCAGGGTGCATTGTTCATTATGGTGTCGCTCAGTCCCACAGATTCCACAGGATCAACCTCTGTGTGCTTTCGGCTGGTGTGTATATGTTGGAATGCAGCAGCATGATGCAGTGACAATGCAGTGTAATGCCCAATGTGTTTTTTGTGCGTGCAAAGTGCCAGGGTCGTTCTGATTCAGTTCGAAACTCTGATGAAACTCAATCGCCAAGCAGACTCGCAGAGTCTGACAAAGTCTCCCAGAGCTGAGTCAGAAGGGTGAAGGCCCAGTGAAGGCTCCCCAAACCGGAGCTCATGATGTTGTTTTCAGGGGCTGAGGCAACTTGATTTTTGCGCCTTGTGGACTCTGGACCAGTGGGAGTCGGCTGTCCAACTTCTGCGGGTTGGTTCTGAACTTGGGGTAGTTATCTCTGTGGCTGATAGACTGCTGCTAGGTCAGGTGTGGAGAATGTACAATGTACACTGAGGCTGAGGTGGCTGAGGGCTTTGGCAGCTTTGGCTTGGATTCTGATAGGATCTGCTTTTGGATTCATGTGTGGTCATGGTCCTGGTCATGGCTTCATTTCATCAGGGTCAGTCCCACTGAATCTTGAGTCTTACTTGTAGGTTTTCCTTAGTATGACTCCTTGACAAGAACCCGTAGCTGTAGCCGGTAGGTAGGCCGTAACGAGTAGCGGACTAGCGTATAGCAACGTTGCAAAGGTTCTGAGTTCGGAAAACGCTATCCGAATCTATACTCTATGACTCTATCCTCTTCTGCATTTTACATTCTGCATAAGACATTGCCAGTGCCTTCCAGTGGCACAAGACGTCTTTTTGTCTTGAGGGTACCCGGGTACCCGTACCAGAAGGTTCAGAGTTCAGTGATCAGGATCGGACGTTGGCAGTCGACCTTGAAAGTCTCCAAAGCATGAAACGTGGCTTCCGGGCTGATGTGTGTGAGCTCTATTGGACTCTGTTGGCTGACCTGGCATCTCAACACCAGACTCAGCAGACTGGCAGACCTGCTTGAGGTTAGAGTCGGTTCGAGTCAGAGGTTAGAGTTAGAGTCGAGTCTAGTTTCTAGATTCGGGGTAGTCTAGAGTGTAGATACTAGCGTACAGTGTCGACTGCAGTGTAGAGTTTAGAGTGTAGAGTCTCAGCATCCGGTGGCAGGCCACTGACACTGGTCCGGCTTTGCTTTGCCTGTCATGTCATGGCAGACAGCTATGGCAGCTGTGTTCAACCCATCTCCAGGTAAACATCAGTGCACTTTGTTTGGATGGGGCAGGCTCAGCTTGGCAGGTTTCGTTTGCATTGCCGCTCGTGCAAGGTGCTACAAGCTAGCAGGTACTAACCGCAGCTAACCCAACCTAAATCATTAGTATCATTGCTGTGTCCTGCTCGGCTGGCCTTTCATCCAAAGATCAGTTTTTTAATGCCTGCTGGGTGCTCTCACACCAATTCAGGAATCCTCTTGTGGCAAGATTGAGGACTACGACGACGACAACATGCCGCAGACTGTGTGCAGTGCACTACATTACATTGCACTAGATTCACTAGCTTGAGTGGTGCTTTGCTGATTCAGAATGTGGACCAGATAGAAATTGTTCAACGTGGCAACGCAATGACCAATATGCAGGGCAGCAGTGGAGCCGGAGTCCCTACACTGAGTACAGCATGTTCCATGTGTGTGTGTGTGCGTTGTGATTTTGCGGTTTGCGAGTTTTGGACATGTTGTCAATAAGACTATGACATAAGATGCAACGCAGCAATGCAGTGATGATGTGTGTTCCTCTGCTCAGTCTCATGGTGACTGGAAACTGCATTGTGGTCATTGTCGCCATGCGCGAAAAACTATAACAATGCACTTCACTTGTGCTGCTTGCCAGCAGCTGTCCTCCACAGCCCATAGCCATGGCAGACAGAATAGTCTAGGCCCAGGCCCTAGGGCCTAGGGCCTAGGGGCTTCTAGAGTTTTGGCCACAGCTGCACGTTCATCGTTTGCGAAGATGTTGGTGTGAACAGGAAAAAATCAGTGCAGATACACCTTCTGTGACCTCAGTTACGGTGGCCGATTAGCGCATCTGTGCAGGAGAGTACACCCGTGATTGAGGCAAAAGGCTGAAGGCCCCATAGGACAGCCATGATTCGAAGCTAAAGTAAAGTAAGGTTGAGGCTGTTACAGTTACGGTGTTGTCAAGGACAGGCCCTAGGCTCATCCACACGGGTGGACAGATGCTTTCCATGTTCCGCAGATGTGTAAAGTGTAGATGATCTCCCAACTTGCGCTTCTGTCCATGCAGGAAAAAAAGATGCAGGCTTATGTCCTGTGTGTCTCCCCAACCCCCAACATAACGCAAAGGTGCATGATTAATGAGTCTAGTAACTGTAATTGTGTATTGAAGAAGCAGTAAGCACTACTTCGAATGGCTGACAGTGACAGCACAGAGGGATGTTGGAGACACTGGGGCTGCGGAGTTTTGTCTCAGTGAAGACTTCGCTTGCAAGCTCAGCCGAAAGCGTCCATGGAGAAGGATCATGATGTTTGCGTGTCAGGTCTATGATGATTCACTGGTGATTGCTGCTGACCACCCACAGGTGGCTGCTTGGACCTCGGGGGCCCTTTGCTGCTACTGCTACTGCTACTGCTACAAAGCACTACAAGTTACTACGGGGGAAGCAGACTCTGGCCCTGGGCCCTGAGCTTCATGCATGTTGGAGTGTAGTGATACATTGGCAGACACGGTCCGGTACAGCCAGAGGCGTTCTCTGCAGTTTCGGGTGACATCCGGGTTGGTCACCCATTGGTCAGTTGCTTAATTTTTGTAACATAAGAAGATTGACAAGCTCACGAATGTTGCTGAATATGCCTTCTTGTTTGTCCTTTGCTTGCTCACTGCAAGTTCATGAAAGACTTCTTTGGTTGCAGTCGTTCATTGATGTACGTGCGACTTGCTGCAGATTTTCTTGGAAGAAGACTGTCATTTTGCTTGTGTTGGGTTCAGAGCTGACGCCATGGGCCGCAAGACTGATCCTCGTTTGCACACCAGGCAGCACCGCATGCCAGTTGTTGGAAGACCAACGAGTGGCAGCTGCCAGCTGCTAGCCGTAGGCGAGTAAATCTAGAATCTGCTAACAGCTGCTAGAATCAGCGCAATCCGGTCCACTGGCGTGACTGCTGCCTGCTGCCTTACGTCTTGCGTCCTTAGGGCCTTAGGAGTCAACAGATTCAGCTACAGTCAGGCCAGGCTGAAGCAGCTCAGGTTTTGGTTTTCAGGGTAGCAGCCGGTAGCAGTAAGCAGTGACGCCTAGCAGGTAAGTAGGGCCAGGCCAGACGCAAGTCGCCAGATATAAACGGCTGTTCAACGTGTAAGTGTGAGCTGTGCTGTAAGCCTGCCATTTCATGACTTGCAATTCGTGTCAATATTGCTGTTATTTGTGCGACTCTGCGACTCTGTTTAGTTTTTCTATGCTGGTCGGAGACTGAGAAAGCAATGTGAGTGTTGTTACAGTTACGGCTACAGTTGCAGCAAGCAAGCAGAGCAAGCAGTCGTGGCAGTCATGACCAAGAATGAGTGCTTCAGTCCTGCATTCTCTGAGGAAGCTTTGGTTCCCAAGGCTGAAGAGACTGCCTCGGTCGACCCTCCTCCTCCTCCTGCAGCTGGTGCCCCTCCTTCAAAGCGAGCCCGGAAAACCAAAGGCGAGGTACTTTGCGTGCTGCGCGGTGAATCCTCGAAGGAGCGGGTTGGGGCTTGGGAGCTGGGATAAGAGGCATTCTATGTCGTTCTATGTTTCTCAGAAGCAGTGACAAGCTTGCCCCATGTGCTGCCTGGTCTCGATGACCTGGTCATGGTCCTGCTACGGAGCGTGATGTCGATCAGCGTCAGTGTACCAACTATACTACACCTTGCTCTACTGTCTAATAACTCTAATCAAAAAATCACTCACTGTCACCCGACGACCCGACGACCTTGGAGAAAGTATTGGCTCTGTGGGGCCCGGATGCCAAAACACAGTTGAACACAGGCAGCATATATTGTTTTTTCCAAACAAAACAGTCGGAAGAAGTGTTGGCAGAGCTTTGGTAAGACTGTGTTCAGCAATGCAGGATAAGCCATTCGCTGAAGTGGACGCCAATGGAGCGATCTTGACGCCAGTATGCTGGGATTGTGGCGACTGCGCCTGCCAGTTGCGACCAGGCAAGAGCTTGGCAGAGCTAGTAGACGCGTACCAAAAAGGAACGAAATCCAGTGCAGACCCGCTGTTTCGGATTGATTTCGACAAGGGCATAGAGATCTATCACGGAAAAGTCGCAGCCAACTTTTCTCCAGCTGCCAATGTCGGCACAGAGACGAGCTACGGCCTGAGGATCATCCAACCCTACGGATTGCTGACCGATTCTGAGTACACTGGACTCCTCGGGGGCTTGCCGACCGATCTGTCCAAGAAGGACCAGCCAGTGCAGGTCAACCTGCCATTCGTTTCGCCGGAGAACCGCACGAAGTACTGGCTTTTCGACCTGCAGGGCTTGGAGCCGTCCCAAGCCCAAAGTGTGAGGCGCGTTGAGCTCTTCTACCAGACCAACACTGCGTTGCAGGAAGTGATTCTGGACAGTGCCAGGCAGCTTCATGAGCGGCAGGGTAACAACTTGTTCTCCTACCTCACGGCCAGGAGCTTTGAGGGGCGAGGGAAAGGCCTGACCCCGGCTTCCCAGAAGCCGGACAACCTCCAGGCTTTGAAGAGTAAGCACGCTCAAGCACAGAGGACTTTTGAAGCAGCTGTAGGAAAGCAGCAAGACGACTCGGACCACGGGAGCTCAGACTCAGAAGAGGCTGCTGATGATGCAGCACCCGTGCCAGCTGCTGCAACGCGAAGTGTGGGCTTCGGTTTCACTGCCACTGCAGCCAAGAGCTCGGCAAAGAGACGAAGGACTGATGTAGCAGCAGCTGTTGCAGCATCTACGGCTCCGGCTACGGCTAAGGCAGCTGCCAAGGTCGCACCTGGCACGATGCAGC